ATTGTAGGAACATGGGCTGTATCAGGTTACGGACCGATGGATTGCTTGGTTATTTCTTTGAATTCGCATATACTGGTGAAACAAAGGTTGATCGACGTGTATTAGCTGTGTATTAAAGATCAGAGTATGATGAGTGGTTATCGAGATGGTTCTGGCGAGTTACAAGTCTTATGTAGCCTTTAAGGACTTTTGAATTTGTCTAGAGGGGGCTTGAAACAGTAGCGAATAGTAATCGAATCTGCGGTATTTCCATGCCAAGAAAGGTTTACATGTCAATGTTGGGGTGATGCAAGAAATGGTTTCGGGTCCCCAGGAAGTTCCCTTAAGGCAGTCATATTAGATTGATTTACTTTCGGATTGGTAGTCTTCGTCACTCGGTTGAGTTAGAAGAGATTGGTTTTGATTACTAGATGATGTGTTAATGAGTTCCGAAAAATTTATCATGGTTATGACCATGGACGGAGTTGATATTTTCTACAAGTATAGGAGCTATATTGTGCATGGTGGTGTTCTCATGGATTGATATAAATGAAAGATTCTCGATTGATGAAGTATTCAATTTGCTTATGGATCAGAGTTGGCTATGAGACTTTTATAGTGTTGCGAGTTAGCATTTTAGAGGCGATACGCCATGTGGGGGTTGAAAAGTTGCATGTACAAGGTTGCTGATAGTTTCGGAGGGAAGGATATGAGTTCTTGATGGCACGAATGATTTCGGGTGTTTAAGGTTTTGCTGGCACTATGTGTTTCCACCAGGGGAGAGTTCGCCTATTGGAAGGTACCATGTGTTTAGACTTCTGGGTGTTTTTCCGCGAGTTGATGGAGTATGAGTTACATATCAGCCTTTTTAGTAGCAGCGTTGAGATTAGGTATGAAGATTTGGTATTCATGAGGCTCAGAGACGGAATGTTCTTGTTGGCAGACTATTTCTTAATTGCGAGTTGTGAAAAAATGTAGAGGATTGGATGATTGATGGTAGATGTTATGCAAAGGTTACTATTGACTTTTGGAAGGTTTATTTCATGTTTGAGGATGATCGAAATTTGGTCTGGGGATTAATTTTTAGCCTAATGAGAGTGTGTATTTTGAATCAGATTGGATTTGCTCGCTCTTGCGCAGTTGATGGCACATGTATATCGTCGGGTGGAGTGGATGTTATTCGCGCCTTGGTTTATGTAGTATGTTTCTCTCTTATGCTATGATGGGTTGTGAGAGTTACATGATTATTCCCACGCATATTGTGATTCGGTTTAGGCCTCGTGGCACTATGGGCGAGGTGACCCTTGTGATGTTGATTTGCTTATTGCACCATCATTGTGCTTGACTTTCTTAGTATTGTTTGTTCCTAATGATTTTATCCACAATTATATTTTTGTGCACTCGGTTGTGCTTGATATTGACACGCATGTGATAAGTGAGCCCGAGTATTATGGCTCGATGGGTACCCTATGTGGATTGATATGATGGAATAGGGTTGCACGCCGCAACGGTATAGTGATGAAATGTGACTCCTTATTCCTATTTCATGTATTTTGCTTTGACCTTGTTGAAAATAGTTCATAGTAAAATGTTAAAATTTTCCTGCCTGCTTAACTTGCTTAGTAGTCTTCTTATCTAGTTTTCTTACTGTTATCGGTCATATCTGAATTAGTACTTGATGGTGTACGGAACCGGGTTGTGTGGGGTTCTATATGATCATTATTAGTACTTGTTAGTGTGGCTGTTTGTATTGGCTGAGATGAGGTTTCTAGACCTGAGATTTGCGTTATTGTATTAGGATGAGGAAAGTTTGGAAGAATAACACTATATTTTGTTGAGGATTTGGACAATGGCCTTGGTCTGGCGAGTGAGTTCTTGGTTTATTGATAAGAAGGGTGGTCAAGAGGTTATACGTGTTTCTTTCATCATCGGTAGGGTAGGAAGGTTTTGAATGAAGTTCTAATCAATACGAGGTTTGCTACCGACACCGAATTTGTTTCTGGGCAGTAATGGTGGTCAGAAGTTCCTACTATGAGTGTTGAAGTGATATGGTATATCATGTGGTTACATCCTAGGTTATGGTTACGACTTGATACAACTTATTCAAACTTATACCATGTGTAGATGTGAGATTCAAGTCTTGAAATGAATTCTGGATGATAGAGACTGAGTCTTACGGTTTAAGGACCAAGGTCGAAATAAGGATCTCTAGTCATGTTGTGTTGGCGGGCTATGTGGATCAGAGTGACGTGGGATCATCCCCGGGTTTATGCATAGTAAGGTTACTGTCACGACCCAATTTCCCCTCCATTGGGTTTCGTGATGGCACCTAGTCTTAGGGACTATGTAAGCTTAACATTTACTGAATATCAACCATAATAAAGAAAGTCTAATAGTCTCAATATAGAAATCTTTATAGAATTTACATCTTCCCAAAACCGGCGATACAAGTCATAAGCTCTACAAAGTTTCGCTATAATTTCTAAACACAACTGTATGGAAAAAAGTACAACAGTGTGGATACAAAATAGGAAGGTGACTTTAAAGCCTGCGAATGCAGCAGCAGGGTTACCTTGAGTCTCCTCGGCAAGAATTTGCACAGCTACTAACGATCAATACCTGGATCTATACCAAAAAAATATAGAAGTGTAGTATGAGCACACAACAGCAGTGCCTAGTAAGTATCAAGACTAACCTCGGTGGAGTAGTGACGAGGAATAACACCTACTAGTCTAATAAACTGAACAAGTATAAGTGTAGAAACAACAGAACATGATATCTATACAAAGACTACGCAATGTGGCTAACAATAAAGTAATTGCAATAAGGAAAGAAAACAGCAAGTAATAGCGGAACACCACAATAAGAACACAGAAAAGTGAACGGAAATATAACCCAAATCCAAAATCACAAATACAGTAGAGACAAGTCATAACTTAGCAACTACGGTAGTTTTTACATTAGGTCTTAGCCAACAAACTTCAATCAATTAGTCAAATACTTTAATTGATAAAAATATTTTGAAATATACTTCCTTCAAGTAACTAATTTTCAAAAATAGTTCTTTCAAAATAAATACCTTTCGAATATAATCTTTTCAAATAAATATCCTTCGAATATAATTCACCCCGTGACACCTCATCTCATAATCATACAATACGGGTCTCAATACCTGAACACTAACACTTGGCATCATGTGCCCTCATCACACCTCATAATCATACTAACAACTCACGTGCCAAATAGAGTCATTCTCACATGGAAGGCAAATAAACAAGGGTGTGCGTCTATACTTAGCAATATCAAGAAGCCTCTTATCCGATAAGGGTGCTTAGCCATGTGTATGCTTGTGCAAGTGTCCTAACATAGTTCATACCAGCTAGTAAGTATAAGGAAAAGTACGGACAACACGTATAATGTTTACACAGGGATAGGATCAATGAAAAGCAACAGCTCAGTACACAGTGATAATAATAGGGGATCTCTCAGAATACCGCCCCGTAGTCCCAAACGTAACTGTGCATAGGGATCTACCGGAATATTGTTCCATAGTCCCAAAGTAAATGTACAGACAAGGGGATCTACTGGGATACCGTCCCATAGTCTCAAACATAAATGTGTATGGGGATCTACCAGAATATCGTTTTGTAGTCCCAAAGTAAATATGCAGAACATGGGGCTCTACCAGGATACTGTCCCATAGTCCCAAAGTAAATATGCAGCGTAACCAACAGAAATAATAGTTATAGTACGACAGAAACCTCGTACATCACCACAACAAATACAATAGCAAAAATGACAATAATATAAAGTGCGGCAAGTAAATCAACTCAAGAACTTTAAATCACAAGAAACGGTAGAACCAGTTCATATGGAATAACCACAGTAAAGAATGCTAGGCATAAAGGGAACAATTCAACAAGGGAAAACTAACATGTAGCAACGACCCCACAATATACAAGTCAACAATAAGGAAGTCAACACTAGTCAAATAGTTCCAAATAAAGGCAAGTCTACTAAGATATAGGTTATCTAAACTCCTCTTAAGTTTGAGCAATTGCGAAGGATATTCAACAATTCAAATAATGGTAAGCAACAGAAGATAATCCTCACTCCAATTAAGACTAAACAACTATAGGATGAGACAATAATAATTTCAATTAAAAATAAGCAGTTATGAAAAGACAGCATGACGATAGAAGAGGCAAAATCTTCAGTTAAGTCAATTAAAAGTCAAATAGGCAATAAGACTGAATCCTAAAGCAATTAATTCTAACTAAAGCATATAGAAGTGAAACCAGCAAATAGGAACTCAAACGTATCACGAACAACTTCATACACGGTGAGTATAAAACCTAGGAACCCTAAAGGCCAACTTTCCATAAATAAGTCCGAGCACGCACTCGTCACCTCGCGTACATGAACTACAATCACTATAAAAGACTCAAAGATGACAAAACGATACTCTAAAATGCACTTCTCGGGTGAAAAGACCTCCGGACGAGTCAAATTTAACCAAAATAACTTCAAAGCACAAATAAAACTCATAAGAAACTATTCCGGATCATAAAGTCTCAATCTTTAAAAAAATCCAAAAAATGGTCCAAAAGTTGACCCTCGATCTTGCACCTTGGAACCCGACAAATTTTACAAAACTCGGATACTCATTCCGATATGAGTTCAACCATACGAAAATCATCAAATTCTGATAGCATTTGGTTTCTCAAATCGTGATTTTTCAATTTAGAAATTTTCTTCAAAAACCAACATTTTCCTCAACCCAAAACACAATTTAAATGATAAAAACAAATATAAAATCATGGAATATATTAAATTCTAGGTGAAGAACACTTACCCAATCGATTTGCTTGAAAAAACCACAAAGAATCGCTCAAAACCGAGCTCCACAAGTCAAAATATGATAAAAATGGTCTAACCCTCGATTTGAGAATATATTCTACTTGCTCAGGTATTTATGCATCGCGAATGCGGAGGTAGGATCACGTTCACGAATAAGAAAAATGAAGGCTGCCCAGGTTGGTCATCGCGAACGCGATAACAAGCTCGCGAACGCAGAGAAGAGAAGACAGAAACCTAGTCGAACAGGTAGGGAATCACACGAATGCGAAGAGTAACAACCACCAGTGCTCAGGGCCTGGTTTCTACTACGCGAACGCGGAATAGAGGATGCAAACGCGATGAGGAATATGTGCAGAGATACGCCATCGCAAGGCGTATTACGCAAACATGAAGACAAAAATTGGGGAGATCAACAGAGACTCTTCGCGAACGCGAAAGGAGCTTCGCGATCGCGAAGAAGTATATCAGACACCAGAACCAGCAGTTCAAAAACAAGGGAAAATGACCCGCCCACCCGAAACACAATTGAGGCCCTTGAGACCCCGTCTAAACACACAAACAAGTTCTATAACCTAATACAGACTCGCTCAAGGTCTCAAATCATATCAAACAAGGCCGAAAATGCAAATCGCACCATGAATCGAGCTTATGAACTTCCAAATCTTCCAATTTATAGAACTCGCGCCGAAACCTTTCAAATCAACCCGGAATGACGCCAAATTTTGCAGACAAGTCCACAATGATATAATGGAGATATTCCAACTCTTGGAATCGCATTCTGACCCCGATATCACAAACGTAAACTATGGGTCAAACTTCTCCATTTTCCAAACTTCAACTTTTCCAATTTTCGCCAAAATGCCTCAAATTACCCTACAGATCTCCAAATCTGAATCCGGACGCACACCTAAGTACAAAATCACCATACAAAGTTGTTGAGATCATCTAAAACTCATTCTAGAGCCGTTTTTACAAAAGTCAAGTTCCCATCAAATTCTCACTACTTAATCTTCCAAAACTAGATTCCTTCTTCCAATTTAACTCCGAATCATCTGGTAACTAAATTCAAACATCCACGCAAGTTGATATGAATAATATGAAGTTTTTCAAGACCTTACATCACTGAACAGAGCTTAATTTCTCAAAACAACTGGCTGGGTCATTACAGTTACACTGTGATTTGATAGCTTTGGAACGATTCCTGATACGTTCAAGGACAAACATATGTTTAAGTGGTGGGGAATGTAATGACCCTACTATTTGTTTTGAGTATCTGTACTTTGTTCGGTATTTTGAGGGATCGATTATCTCCGCATGATGTATTATGACTTCCACAAATCGCTAGTGTTGATTTTCAAGTTATCTGGAATCGATTTGGAAGAATGAACTTCAAGATTTAAGTTCTAAGTTGGAAGAATTGACCAAGTTTGTCTTTTTAGCATTTGACCTCAGAATGGGTTTTGTTAGTTCTGTTAGCTCCGTTGGGTGATTTTGGACTTAGGAGTGCATCTGGATTGTATTTGGAGGTCCGTAGTTGAATTAGTCTTGAATTGGCAAAAGTTGGATTTTTAGGAAGTTTGATCGGGAGTGGACTTTTTGATATCAGGGCCAGATTCCTATTACGGAAATTGGAATAGGTCCATAATGGTAAATGTGACTTGTAAGATAAATTTAAGGTTAATCAGAGGTGATTTGATATGTTTCAGCATCAGTTGTAGAATTTGAAGTTTCAAAGTTCACTGATTTTGTCTTGAGGTGTGATTCATCGTTTCGAGGGTATTATGCATGATTTGAAGCTTCGAGTAGGTTCATTTTGTCATATAGAACTTGTCTGCAAAATTTGGCGCCCTTTGGAGTTGATTTGATATGGTTTGGACGCACGATTGCGTTTCTAGAAGTTCTTGAAGTTTAATTTGGTCTTCATGCGTTTTGGAGTCTGATTCGTAGTTTTAGAGGTTATTTTGATGTTTTGATCAGGTGAGCAAGTTCGTATGATATTTTTTGTGACGAATCGGCCGGTCGTTTTAAGAATTTACGCCCTGATCCCCTATTAACTGCTCTTCCCAAGTTTATTTCTGCTATTTTGATTTGCCGGGATGTTCGGTTTTGAGTTTCGGAGCGTTTTGGGACACTTAGTCCCTAAATGAGAGCTTAAGTGTTGAAAAGTTGATCGTAGTTGGAACAGTGTGAAGACATCATCGGAATGGAAATCCGATGGTTTCGTTAGCTCCATTGGGTGATTTTGGGCATAGGGGCTTGTTCGGATTGTGTTTTGAAGGTCCATAGCTAATTTATGCTTGAAATGCCGAAAGGTCGAATTTTGAAGTTTCTGGTTAGATAGTGTGATTTTGATCCGAGGGTCGGAATGAAATTCTGGAAGTTGGAGTAGCTCTGTAGTGTTGAATGTGACATGTGTGCAAAATTTCAGGTCATTTGGACAAGGTTTGATAGACTTTTTGATCGAAAACATATTTTTAGAGTTTTTGGGATTCTTAGGGCTTGAATTCGATGAAAAATATGTGTTGATGTTGTTTTGAGCGTTCTGAAGGTTGGAACAAGTTTGAATGAAGTTGTGGGTTATGTTGGTAGGTTTGGTTGAGGTCCCGGGGGCCTCGGTATGATTTCGGATGGTTGATGGAAGAATTTTGGAGTTTTGAAGTTGCAACTTCAGCTGGTTTTCTGTCATAACCGCACCTGCGGTTTGGGTCACGCAGGTGCGGCGCCGCAGAAGCAGCTCTGTGGTCGCCGAAGCAGAATGGGAGAGGTCAAGCAGGAGCCGCAGAAGCGGTAGGTTCTCCGCAGGAGCGGTACCGCATCTGCGGACGGGGAGTCGCAGATGCGGAAGCTGGCTTTAAGTGAGAAGTCGCAGATGCGACCCTTGTTCCGTAAAAGCGGGACCGCCGAAATAGGAAATTTTGAGGGTTTAGTTTCAAAAGTTGGAAATTCAATTTGGAGCTCGGGAGAGGGCGATTTTGAGAGGAAATTGAAGAGGAGATCATTGGGTAACAATTCTTTAACCCTTTCTAGTTATATTCCATTAATTTATAGTTAGTTTCATCATTTAATTTCAGATTGGAGATGAAAATTGGAGAAAAGTTGGAAGAAAGTTTTTAGACCTAAAAAATCGACTTTTGATTGGGAATTTGACATTAGATTTGGATAATTTTTGTATGCATGAACTCGTGAGAGTATGAGGATTCTGAAAATATAAATTTTACCTGATTCTGAGATGTGGGCCCGAGGGGCATTTTGGTTATTTTTCCTAATTTCGCATATTAGCTTAGAATTTCTTTGTAGAGTCAGTTACTTGAAGTGTTATTTACATTATGCAATTGAATTTAATAGATTTGGGCCATTTGGAGTCGAGTACTCGTGGAAAGAGCGTGATTTCAGATTGATTATTATGCCGGATCGAGGTAAGTGGCTTGTCTAACCTTGTGTGGAGGACTTTCCCCTTAGGATTGGTAATGTGATAATTGAAATACCTTGTACGTGAGATGGCGAGAGCGTATTTGTGCTAATTGTTGAAAATCCGATTTTTATTAAGTAACTTTAATTGTGCTTTCCCCTTTCTATTTATTCTACTTGCACTTTTAAACCTGCTGTTAGTTAGAGAAGCATGTCTAATTGATTTAATTGCTTTATTTGCTTTAACTACCTTATTTGTATTACGTGAAGCATGCTAGGTTAGAATTGTCTGTGTTACCTTGTTATGAAGTTGAGTTTATTTGAGTATTCCTTGTGCCATTGTTGTGTGTTTTACTTTGGAACTACGGGACGTCATCCTGGGAGATCCCCTGTACGCATTTACGATTTGAGTTGAAATGCGGGATACTGAGAGATCCCCAACACGTATATTGAGGATACCAAGAGATCCTCGGGATACCAAGAGATCCCTAGCTTATATTGAGGATTCCGAGAGATTCTCGGGATAGCAAGAGATCCCTATCATATATTGAGGATACCAAGAGATCCTTGGGATACCAAGAGTTCCCTATCATACATTGAGGATACCAAGAGATCCACGAGATACTAAGAGATCCCTAGCATACATTGAGGATACCGAGAGATCCTCGGGATACCAAGAGATTCCTATCATACATTGATGATACCAAGAGATCCCTAGCATACATTGAGGATACCGAGAGATCCTCGGGATACCAAGAGATTCCTATCATACATTGATGATACCAAGAGATCCCTAGCATACATTGAGGATACCGAGAGATCCTCGGGATACAAAGAGATCCTTGGCATATATTGAGGGTACTAAGAGATCCTCGGGATACTAAGAGATCTCCGATTATTTCCTTGTGATTGTTTTTGCCTCTGTTTCAGTTATTGAATTCCTTGTTTTCCTGTATTAAATTCTGAGTGTTAGTTTTTGATTGTACTGCTTATCTTATACTGTCATATCTTATTTTTTTTTATTTTATCTCAGTAGGGCCCTGACCTTCCTCGTCACTATCCGACCGAGGTTAGGCTTGGCACTTACTTAGTACCGCTGTGGTGTACGCATGCCCTTTCTATGTATATTTTTCATTTGCAGATCCAGGTACCTTGATTCAGACTTACCATCCTTGAGGCGAGGCAACCCTTCAGAATCTTCGAGGTATATCTGTCGCGTCCACAGACCGAGGAGTCTCTCTCTATTCTCTCTTGTAATTACAACCCTTCTATATTTACATATTTTAGACTATTCTGGAGTTAAAGCACTACGTAATATCCTTAGCTTGTGATTCATGGGTTTCCAGGTTTTGGGAAAATGTATTGGTTTTAAGAGTTAATATTGTGTATGCCGAACGACACTTTTAAACGCTGTTTTATTACTCTATTTCTGTTTTAAATTGTTTTCTTTTGCAAATTTGGTTTATCTTCTGCATTTTTGGCCTACCTAGTCGTAGAGACTAGGTGCCGTCATGATGGTTCACGGAGGGTGAACCGGGGTCGTGACATTTTTAGACTTGTGTGCATATTTTGTTTGAAGCCCCGAGGGTTCGGGTGAGTTTTGAATTGGTTTTGAAATAATTTTTCATGAATTTTGAGTGTTGGTTCTGGTTTCTTCGCATTTGCGATGTTCTGGTCGCAAATGCGACCATTGCATTTATGAAGAAGCCTCGCATTTGCAAAGCCTGGGCGGCTGGGTAATTTTTCACATATGCGATGAGCCTGCCGCATTTGCAAAAGCTAGTCTTCGCATTTGTGCAGATTTGGTCGCAAATGCGACCTTAACAGGAATCCTCCAGGTTTGCAATCGCGATAAGTTTTTTGCATTATGTGAACCCCCCTGTCACAAATGCGACATATGCAACCTGTTAAGTGCTGAGAATTACGAGTCTTTGCTTCATTTTCATATATTTTAAACCCTAGCTTCGATGAGAGGCGATTTTGAGAGGGGATTTTCATACCAAATCATTGGGTAAGTATCTATAATTTTCCAACTATAGTTCATGATTTTATACAAGATTTAACATCAAATTCATGAGAAATCTATGGAAAAATTTGGGGATTTTGTCAAAGTTTTGAAAAATGAAAATTTAGGATTTGATAGTCGAATAGGACTCAGATTTAAAAACAAAACACATATTTGGACTCGTGAGGCTATGGGCGGGTCCGGGGTTTGACTTTTTTTGGCTTTTTAGAAATTGAATAAAAATCACAGCTTTACTAATTGAAATTATTTTCTCTTGCATTGTGTGATGTATTCAAGTTGCCATCGGCTAGATTGAGCCGAGTTGAGGTAAATTGGTAAAGGAAAAACTAAATTTAAATATTGACTTAGCCGAATTAAGGTAAGTGTCTTGCTAACTTTTTCGAGGGAATTTTTTCTCCTATTTGACATTGTTTTCTACATGCGGGGGTGATACATATACGAGGTGACGAGTGTATATGTATGTGCCAGAGTTAATCATGTTCGGAGGTAGATTATGTTATAACTGTGTCTTGTATAATTACATAACCTTCTTGCTTCATGCCTCACTTGACTTCTAGATATTAAGAAAATATTACTAAATATTAGAAATCGAGAGTTAGCCTAATATAACTTGATAAATTTGATGGAATTCTGAGAATACATTGATGCGTCTAATTCGGTCATCTCTATGCATAATCGTTAGTACATTGCTACGACTGATATTTTGAGATGCTATATTCCATACTTGTGTTATTGATAAATTGTGGGATTTCTGGAAGTACTTGAATTATATGGACCTTGAGGGTTCATTGAACCATTGTTGGTTTGGAAAGTAGTGATTGAGAATTTGTTTGGAATATTCGTTTGAACACTCTTCTCGATGTTATTTATACTTCCTGCCTTGCCACTTTATTGATATTCATATGCTTGGTAAGGAAAAGTGTAAAGCACGAAGGGTGATGTCGTGCCATATTGAGAGTAAAAGCATGAAGGGTGACGTTGTACCATTATTGAGAGTAAAAGCACGAAGGGTGATGCCATACCATATCATGTGAGAGTAAAAGCACGAAGGGTGATATCGTGCCATTTCATTTATATTGTTATGATTGTGTGTTATCGTGAGGTCATGGCACGATGTGTGTTTCCGTACAGGCAAGGATGAGGGACATGCATTATGTTTGATATCTGTCTTCCGTGTATATGTTCATGTCTTTACCTTGAACTGTTATTGTCATAATTATCGATCTGATGTGACTTGTTGCTATTGTTCCGTCATTGATCATTGTTTTAATTGTTGTCGTGTTGCTCATACCTTCTACTTGCTTAACTTACAAATACCATGCCTATTTCCTGCTTTTATAATTATGCTCATATTGTATCTATTCTGTTGCACTTTAGTATAAGCCTTCCATGTTAGCCATTTTATGCCATTACTTGTCAACTTTTAAAGATCATGTATTTCTGTCTCATTTGTTATATTTGTACTTAGGCCTCCAATATGCTAGTTAATTGAAGTTGATATTCCTTGTTTTCCAATTGTTGTTACTACTCACATGCTTTCTGCTTAGTCTTTTACTGTTGCCCACATGTATAGCTTTGTCCATTGTTGTTACTTGCGTATTTCCTACTTTGAAATTCCTGTAATCGATATTTCTGTCATCTGGTTGGTTCTATTATACGTACATTTGGAAGGATGAATTGAACGCATGAAAGGTGTTGTCGTGCTGATTGATTTGACACATAAATTATTTATATATGGTAAGGAAGAGATAGAAGCACGAAGGGTGTTACTGTGTCGTTTGACTTTATATCTTGGATATACTTCTCATACCAGGAAAGATTGTAAATCTTCTACTGTGATTCCTTTTAGTAATTGTTGATTGTCTCGCAGAGTTATATACAATACTTTTATTTGTTATGCTTTGAACTGCTTTTACTATTAATCTAATGTACAGGTTATAAAAATAAGCATCTTTTAACTAAAAGCCTCTTCACTAATTTGACGAGGTTAGAAAAATACTTAGCAGTACATGGGGTTGGTTGTACTGATACTATACTTCTATACGATGTGTATAGATTTCTGAAGCAAAGTTGCTGGTGATGTCGGGTGCTGATTCTGAAGATGTTCGCGCATTCCGGATATAGCTTTCTCTTGTCCTTGGTAGCTTAGGTTTTACTATTTTGTTATGTATCTTTCAAACATAACATGTATTTATTCGTACCAGCTTTGTAAATTCCAAGTCTTAGAAGCTCATGAGTCGTATTACTAGGTCTTAGGTAAATTTGTAAATGTTTAGTTACCTATTCTCTATTTTTCTTATAATCTCAGTTGAGTTGTATTTTCTGTTAGTTGGCTTACCTAGCGGGTTGAGTTAAGTGCCATCATGACTTGTGGTTTTTGGATCCTGACAGAAACAATAAGAAATTTACGGAAAGTTAACAACACAGAATCAAGACAGTTAATACAACATGAAAGGAAACAAGGATTTACACGGGAAGGAAACAAAACAACCAAAACAAATACAGGAAATAGAGAAAGATCAGCAAGGGCCACTCCCGAGGTACCGCCTCGTAGTACTAAATCATAAAAGTAACTCCGAGCCTTTATATTTAGTTTTGAAAATTATTTTTTTTCAAAATATCACGCTGCGTTTTAGCGCACCTTATCACACCGCATGAGTTCTAATTGTTCCCCTACTAGCCACACGAATATCTCACCATATGCGTTTCAACACCCAGACCTTATACCACCACATGCGTATCAATATCACAACGTATCACAATTCGCACTTCAAATGCCCAATATCACAACTTGCTAGAAAAATCCGACAATAACAAAAATATCACAATAAGGAGCCCACGTCTCAACCACAATCTACACAAGTCTCAACAATAACAACCGGAGAGTAACTCAATAAAATGACATTTCACAACTTAAACTTTGCCTCAATAAAAATGACGGCTTTTGCAACTCAATACCATACTCAACAACAAGATATTCCAAGAATCGCAAATTTCAAGTAAAGAATCCCACAATTAATTAATGAATACAAAATTAAAGAAAGCGAGTAATTCAGCTAAACATGTATGGCTTATTGCAAATAAGAGATAAGGCAAGTAGGCATGTAAAATTAGACTAAACATGGTGACTATAACATGTTAAAATAACTCAATTAAATCATGAAAGGGAAACTACGTAGGCAAAATCAAAATTTTAATATTTAGCCCGTGTACGCACTCGTCATCTTGCATACACGGCATTCACATTTCACAATTATCATAACATGACCAAATCCTAAGGGGAATTCCCCCCCCC